TGTGTGTGTGTGTGTGTGTGTGTGTGTGTGTGTGTGTGTGTGTGTGTGTGTGTGTTTAAAGTGGACGCCCTCTCGCTGTCTAAAAGGGATTTATGCATAACCGGGTCTCTGAGTTTTTCCTGCTACGGTTTGATATGATAAGCCTTTTTTTATATGTTTAAAATCAATATGTAATCCTATGCAGGAGCTTATCCCTCTCCACACACACACACACACACACACACTCGTCATTTGTAAATCTATTTGGGCTTTGTAACACATCGGGGCGGTGCGCTTCAGACCCTGATTGATTAGGTGCACTATGCAATCCCATCACATGGGCAACTTTTGATGATGTCGCCGACTCTTTCAGGGCTGCAGGTTGTCTTCAGGGGAGTTCAGGTAATGAGGGTCCCATAGAGAGAGGCTGTTTCTGCCCATTAGCAGGCTTTTATTCAGTCACAAAAACATAAAATAATTAGTTTCAACTCATTTAAAACTGTTCAGCACGTCCTCCTCTGCCGTTATGCATTAGTTTTAAAAGCTCTCAGCACTTCCTGGTGTGAGTCTGACATCATATTTCACGCTTTTATTGCTACATGTGGCAGAACAGATGCTGAAAATAAGGATTAAGATTTATGCCTCAGTTTCCAAATTGTTGTGGAACGGCTGAACCTGGTTTCATTCTCACACATACTCTAAATAACTTAAATTCTTTTTTATCCTGAAGATTAAAGAAACCTGTGAAGCAGACCTACAGAGTAAATATTGTATGTATCTTTTTATGCAAGTGTCATAAAATGATGTCACTTAAAGCTATCAAGTAATTTGTAAACAAGACTAACAAGAATATTTTTTTCTTTTTTTACATTTTGTATAAATGAAAGAAAATTGTTTTTTTGCACAGATTTAAGATTCTTCTGTAGGAATTTCAGTTTCAGTGTTTTAGGTTTCATCAAACGTTAAAAACATAATAATTTTGATGAAGTGAAACTGTCCACCTTTACCTTTTGATTGTTCCAGAGAAACACGTTGAGACTAAAGTGAGTTCAGGCTTTTTTAAGTCCTTAAACGTTTAGCTTTAGGACTGAGTTTTGCTCAAAGATTTTAGGACAAATGGTTTGTTTTGGACCTGACAGGAGACCCTCTGCCTTTTATTTCTCGGCCCGTCCACTTCCTTTTCCTCTGGTGACACTTTTTGTCTCACGAGTCCTCTTGGACCTGAGCCAACACCAGCTCTGAGGCCTTTTTTGTAAAGGAATAAAAAAGGAAGGAGGAAAGGAAAAGACCAGGTAAAAAAAATGACGGGAAGCGTGTTGAAGCGTTAACGTCGGTGAAGAATGTCGCCCGTCGGCTTCAGGAGCCTGGGTTTGAACCCTGTAACGTGGCGGCGTCATGTTTTAGTGCGAGACAGAGGAGGAGGCAGGCAGCTGCATGTCGGACGCTCTCTCCTGGCTTCGAGGGGATGCAGCTTTGGACCGGTTTGTGCTCTTGAATAAATTTTGCCCCAAAGAAGGGAGGGAGGAGGGAGGGGTGCGTGTGGATTTTGAACCAGCGCATTCTTGTGTACCTTGTGCAGACTCACATGGTTACCGTGAGGTTCATCTGAATACCATGTGAGTCATACAACCCTCACTCTCTCTCTCTCTCTGATGGAGGGGGCGGAGCTAGTGTAGTTTGTTGGGTGGGGAGGGGAGGTGGAGGGGGGGTGAGTGGCTGCAGGGTGTTTTGTTTGTTCCTCCGTCTCTGGTTACCCAGCCTGCCTCGCTCTGGTGTTGCCTGGTCACGTCTCTCATCGACTCTCCTTATTGTTTACCTTCCTAATGAGGGGGGCGGAGCTCTGCGACAGGTGATTGACAGTCCCCCCTCCCCTCCAAGAATCAACCAGGACTTTAGCTTTTTGGCTGAGAGGTGCTCTGAAGGAGGAGGATTTTTTTTAATACCTCTGGGGTTTTTTTTTTTTTGTTTGTTTGTTTTGTTTTGTTTTTTTCTTGTGGGACGGCTTATCGAGGAGGAAGGTTGTGGGAGCGTTTGGACGGATACGACTGCACAAATTCCTGTCAAACTATTATCTAAAATTATCTGAACCTGATGACTCATCCGCCCTTTTTTTTTTCTTTTTTTCTTTTTTTTTTTTGCTTTTCACAGTATCCCAAATTACCACTTGTGGGTGGAACAAGGAAAAGAAAAAAAGATGAAACTCTGCTCAGAAGCAAGTTTGGGCATATTRTTTAGCAGGTTTGAAGTGTTTGTCGACTCGTGCACAAATCCACACCGCGGTAAATTTGCTTCTTGGATAGTTGGAGAAAAAAAAGACGAACAAAGGAGGAAGAAGTGGAGCGAAGTCAGATATCGGGACTGTGTTTGTTTYGCTTCGTAGTTGACTTCAAAGTGACGAGCAGAGCCAATGAAGGGAGCGCAGACCTTTCAGGACCAACACACTGGGCCCAGCGTGACACACTCACACACACAGCCTGACTGCCACAATTTGACTCAATGAGGCGGGGAGGGGGGAATATTTATTTTTATAAAGCCACACTTATTTTGGGACTGACATTTTACAACATTGCTTTTATTCTCGAATCAATAGACGGTTAAATATTGATAGAGGGGTGAAGTTGCCTACGCAGCGCAGAAGTTG